CCCCCCCCGCGGCCCTCCTCTCTCAATTGATATGTGTACTGTGTATATAGTGAATAAGCTTACTTAAATACTTTATATAAATAGGAATTACACTATAGTTTCAGTAGAAGTAAATATTTCCATTTACTGATAGCGCCGATTGTAAGATTCACAACTCTGATTGGATAATGATGTAGATAGAAAGATAGATTTTACCGCCATACTATTTGTATTGGTTCAGAATAGATAACAAACACATGACTGAACCCTGATTGGATCAGGCGCTAATGGACTTAGCATACAGGAGTGAGAATATGATTGGCAATTATAGACCCTTTTAAATAAATTATATTTTGTACAATTCATTGCAAAATATTTAAATAAATATTCAATGTTTTGTTTAAAGGGTTAAAATATTTGCATTTCCACAAAATCAGTGTTATGACTAGAGTTTCCTATTTCTTCCGGATCTATCTGGTTCCGTAAATTCCTATGCGGAACCTTTTCCTGAAGCTATTAAGAAAGATAAACCATTGAAAACCTTGAAATTTAGTGGCGGAGTCTTGTTTTATCCAAATAATAAGAATAATTCCTAGATACTATCCTGCAGACCAGAGCTAGTTATGAAATAATAAGAATAATTCCTAGATACTATCCTGCAGACCAGAGCTAGGTATGAAATAATAAGAATAATTCCTAGATACTATCCTGCAGACCAGAGCTAGGTATGAAATAATAAGAATAATTCCTAGATACTATCCTGCAGACCAGAGCTAGGTATGAAATAATAAGAATAATTCCTAGATACTATCCTGCAGACCAGAGCTAGGTATGAAATAATAAGAATAATTCCTAGATACTATCCTGCAGACCAGAGCTAGGTATGAAATAATAAGAATAATTCCTAGATACTATCCTGCAGACCAGAGCTAGGTATGAAATAATAAGAATAATTCCTAGATACTATCCTGCAGACCAGAGCTAGGTATGAAATAATAAGAATAATTCCTAGATACTATCCTGCAGACCAGAGCTAGGTATGAAATAATAAGAATAATTCCTAGATACTATCCTGCAGACCAGAGCTAGGTATGAAATAATAAGAATAATTCCTAGATACTATCCTGCAGACCAGAGCTAGGTATGAAATAATAAGAATAATTCCTAGATACTATCCTGCAGACCAGAGCTAGGTATGAAATAATAAGAATAATTCCTAGATACTATCCTGCAGACCAGAGCTAGGTATGAAATAATAAGAATAATTCCTAGATACTATCCTGCAGACCAGAGCTAGGTATGAAATAATAAGAATAATTCCTAGATACTATCCTGCAGACCAGAGCTAGGTATGAAATAATAAGAATAATTCCTAGATACTATCCTGCAGACCAGAGCTAGGTATGAAATAATAAGAATAATTCCTAGTTATCTCGGGATATAAAGTTCTTTAGCTGTCCATTCTCACGATACTAAAAACTTTTAATTAAAGGGACTGTCTACATAATTACATGTTACCCCTATCTCAAGATTTGCATACCCGAGTCTTCTCTTGTTTTTGCTGCATAAATTCGCAACACACTATTATCATTATAATTATAATTAAGTTTTTTATTTAGAAATGTTCCTAATAAGAATTTGTGTTATGTCTTATCACTATCAAAATGTGTCCAAATTAAAACATTGCAAAACACAACATTTCTAATATACAGATTTAACCTACAACACACTTTCAAGATAAACCCCGACTATAAATAAACAATTATCAGTTAGAAAAACAAGAATAGCTTTATCTTCTCTGTATGGGGTGCAGATGTGAATCTTTAAATAAACAGGTTTTAAAATTTTCCTCGATATTCTCTTTTAAGATATTTATTATTGGATATTTCGAGAATCCATATACTTCATCAAATGCACAAATATCCTGTATAAAAAAATTCAAGCTCTTGTGATTAAGCAATTTAATGAAAAAAAAATTCTAAGCATGGAAAATGTTTTTTTTTTTTGGGGGGGGGG